TGACCCTAACCCTAATGTTAATTCAATACAATATATATTATAAGAATCTGCTCCGCTTTAGACGTCCCCCTTAAACTGGCTAACTCGCTATTTAATTATAGGAAATGCTAGAAGCTGACATTCGTTAAACTTAGTATAAAAATATCGAGACCAAACTTTCGGTGTACAAATCGGATAATTGAAGTTAATACTTGGTTTATTAACTGGAATCTGATAATTCTTATACCATTCGATTCGTCTCATCAAGATGAATCGAATAATACAGTCGATACTGTCTAATTGTATGCCATCCGTCCGAGACTTTTTTATGCATATAGACACTATATGCATTTAAATCATAAGAACCATTTCGGTGTTAATAATTAAAAGCAAAATTTTTTTATGCACTTAGAGAGTATATGCAATTAAACAGTATGCAATTAGACAGTATCTACTGTATAAAAAACATTCGATTCTGACCAACGGATTGTAAAATAATTGTACAAAACTCTGATTTAGTAATCATCGTATGGGAGTGCTTCCATCAATCATGCCGAGTTTAACTTCGATGGTTGACGTAAGAGAAGATGCGGGAACTTGATGAAAAATAAGGGAACTCGTATTTTATGGTTATTAGGCATTTATTATTGTATTTTATGTATTCTTTATTTAGTGACGATTTCAGAGAGCATACATTAGATGGTGAACTAAGGGCGAGAGCAACCCTTATATACATTATAAATTTTAGGTACGTTTACGCTCCAACGGTTGCGTTTACACTCCTACTGGTACGTCTACACGACCATAGGGACGTTTATGCTCCCACTGACGCGTTTACGCACCTTGAGTAACATCCATATGATTAAGCCACTACATAAGAATATATAATGCCTAATGCTATAAAGGTAAGATTGCTATGGCTACAATTATGGAAGGTACGTACGTACGTACGTACGTACGTATGTGACAACTTAATGAATTAGACAAATATGGAAGTGAGAGACACGGAGAAAATCATTCGTTACGTACGTACGTACGTACAATATACTGAAACGCAATTGTTCCCGTTTATGTTGCTCTGTTGATCCGCCATTTTACCAGCACTAGTAAAAGTTGTGCAAATACAAAGTCAACTTGCTTTTTTACCTCCTACGTACCTTAAATGATGTAATCATACGTACTGATCGAACATTGTAAAACCGGTACGCTATACAGATGTGATCATAAAATTTTAATAGTATTGTGTGCTTATAAAGAGGGTGTGACTATATAGGAGGTGACTGTAGAGGAGGACGACTGTATACTGTAACATGAAAAATTACAGTATTGTAATTTTCGTAATACAATCCCATCATCTAAATTCACCCGTTATGAATTCAGCCCGTATAAATACAATGATTTCTACGTAGAAGTATTTGTATACCTGGAATTTTTTTGTGATCGTAGTACGGAATTATTTAAGGGTTATAAACTCGATCATACGATCCAGTCTTGATTACATATATAGAGGGCAATGCGTTGTTTATGTACGTTTTACATTTTACCGATACAGCAATAGCAATAGTGATAGCGAGAGATAGAAACTAAACCCATCATAAATTATCAACGCATTTATTTATCATCGTATAATTTTTTAAAATGTTTAACATTTATAGGTTTCATAGGTTTCATAGTTTTCAGCCAATAACGCAACAGATACTGTTGAGTTTACGATATTTTAGTAATAATAATAATACACTAAAATTTCGTGAAATCAGGAGAAATGATAAGAGATCATGGTGTAAAGGAATAAAAGGAATAAAAGGTAATAGAAATTTCTATTAGTCTATTATCGTTATTAATGGATCAAGAAATGAAGACGATAGTGATTTATTTAGTAAAAAAAAAAAAAAAAAAAAAAAAAAAAAAATAGTAAAATAATATGAAACGAGCTCCTAATCGCACACCCAATATCCATTTTTGTAAGGTTTGACAAGTTTATATAAAGTGACGCAAGATTATCAAATTTCTAAATTCCTAAAATACTCTTAAAATTTTGTCTAGCTGTAAAAAAAAAAAAAAAAAAAATGGTGATAAATCAAAACATAAAATCAATTTTTCTCATACTTACTATAGTATTTCCAATTATTCATTCTTTCCATCAACTTACAGTTGATGATAAGATTAGATCTTCATATGTAGCCAAATTTTCCACGGATACTGCTTCAAATGTATCTAATCATTCTCCAAGAAGAATAGTAGCTGTCGGAGATTTGCATGGAGATTATGAACAAACCCTTAAAGTACTGAAAATGGCAAAAATTTTGGACGCAAATGAAAGTTGGATTGGAAATAACGGAATCTTGGTTCAAATTGTATATATTTTTAAGACACTTCATATTATTTATATTATTTTATGATAATTTAATTAATAATGTTTTAAAATTATATGTATTATTGTAAGAATAGGGTGATATAGTCGATAGAGGTCCGGATTGTTTAAAGATTTATGAATTATTTGATAGATTGAGGCAAGAAGCGAAAGAAGTTGATGGGCAGGTAGCCACACATAATTCATCTTTATTATATATAACAAAAATTATATAATTTTTAATTTTTTTTAGGTAATAAACTTGATAGGAAACCATGAAATAATGAACCTTATTCTAAATTGGATTTATGTAACACCCGAAGACATACGTTCCTTTGGTGGTGTTCAAAATCGTATTCACCAATTTTCCTCAGAAGGTTACATCGGTAACCTCCTATTGAACACATTTCAAATTGCATCAATAGTAGAAAATGATACATTATTTGTTCATGGAGGAATTGATCTTAAATGGGCAAAAAAGGGAATAGAAAACATAAATTCACTTGGTAAGGAATTGGTTAATAAAACGACAAAGATGTTAAGTAGAGAAAACCCTGCTATCAATTGGAATCTTATG